GGAGCCTCTTATTATCTATACGGATCTTGTACCACCCGGTACCTCATTTCTGCAGCTGTTACTTTGCTTTTGTGCTTATCCTGCATTGGCAAAGTTTCCGTATTGGTGATTTCCTGTCCTGTGCAATAACAAGACAAGTCTATTGGTTTCTTGTTCATATTCTTCGCATTCTTTTATTGAACACATAAGTATTGCCATGAAAAATCATGTTTGGTTTATAATCAATTTTTTGTTTTCTCTGAACAGTAATTTCAGACTTCATGTGAACTTTGAACAATGTAATTCCTGTTTTTTGCTGAAGTCTAGTTTATAACTATTGCAATTTCAGACTTTTTTTTTTTTTAGTTTGGTTTTTCACCAGTATAATTCTTAAATTTTTGCTGAAGTATGGATTATGATTATTCCAGCCTTTTTTAAGTTTATTTATATTTCTTTGATTATATCTATTATGCATTTTTTAATTTTTTTAAATTAAAATGAATTTTTAATTTTTCCCCCGCATTTTGGGTGCTCCCAAAATGCGGAAATTATCCATGATGATTTTATCTAATGTTAATTATTAATAGTTTTTTATTTAAATTTATATTACTTTTCTTATTTTAACTAAAATAGTAAAACGCTCGAATTTTATACGTCAGTATAAATCCTATTTGAGGTTAGATATCCGCAGTTATCCCTTAGATAGCAACTTATCCGACACCCAATCCACGGGTTACAGGTATTTCAAAAGTTATCCCTTGGATAGCGGTATCTATCAGATAAATACAGTGGTAGTAACCAATTTTTAAGCTATCCGATAGATAACGCTATTAGCGACTTTAACTATGAGTGGTAGTAGTGGGCCTAAGTGCGCCAATTTATCTATCGGATAAATTTATCGGGAGGTGGTACAACCGGCCCTAAGTGAAAAATGGCACTACTCATTGTGATACCCCTATAAAAACATAGTTCATAATGAAAATATCAAAATTCTAACCCTTCGATTACTAGATTTTTGCAAACCAGCATATTCCTAAGAGACATTTAGGAAGAGGATATTTTTTTTCTCGACATAGAACCCAGCCAGATTCACTCTGGTATGTTTCTCGACTCATCTTTATAAATAGGAAAGCCAAGAGGTTTTGCAATGGACTTCTCAAATTCAACTTTGGCAATATGAAGATTGAGATGAGAGGATTAGAATAACCAACGTTTTTCCAGTATAAAGGAGTAGACTGAATAAGGTTCATTACTACCATCTTTTAGTTAAATTTATCTTATAGATAAACCCATCTACTAGCCAATCCGAGCGTTTAAAATAGCTGTAACCATACTAATAATCCCGTAGATAGCTTAACCAGAAGATGGTAGTAACGAACCTAAGGTCCATTACTACCATCTTCTGGTTAAGCTATCTAAGGGATTATTACCACGGTTACAGCTGATTGGCTAGTAGATGGGTTTATCTATAAGATAAATTTAACTAAAAGATGGTAGTAATGGACCTTAGTAGTTTACTGCTATTTTGTCGCTCGTTTTTATTGCAACCCAACCTAATAACGTTGTAGCTGTATCTTATAACGATTTGATAACCGCAATATAATAACTATTTACTGATTTCGGTTGTTTAAAACCATGATCAGCCGAATTAAAAAAAAAAATCAAAAATTTTTTCTTATTTATTGTTTAAATATATACATAAATTAGGCTTAACACTAATTAAAATTAAAAATTGAGATAGTTTTAAAAAGAAGCCTTTGTTTTGATGAAAATAAATTAATTGTACATTAAAATACGAAACATGCGCGTCTACAGCAACATTTTTTTTGAATTAAAAAATATTTTATTGTGATTCGAAACAAAATCTAAAAGCTACGATATACACTTTTTTTTTGATTAAATGACATGATTTTTATTATTTAAACTTCGTTTTTGCCACCATCCAAGCGTTTCAACTGAAAAGAAAAACACCAAAGTTAAAATAATAAAATAATTTGAGTTTTTGGGTTAGAACGAACTTACATTAATTTCATTCTCAACGTTCCAAATATGATTAGGCTTGTATAAACGGATTATTTAGGTAACTTTATTAGATTCGATTTTTATGGAATGGTGATGTTAATAGTTTCACTTACTTCTTTTTCATCGGCTACAACCGCAGTGTAACGTTCGATGATCTTAACCGGACCAAGTGGTGGAGCTTGGAAGGCGTGTTTGTAAAGTAAAGCGGCGATTACACCACCGAAAATCGGGCCGACCCAATAAACCTAATCAAAAAATATTAAATTAATTAATTAAATAAAAAATAAGGTTGAAATGGAATCTCTGAGTAAAAGCATTCCTTTTCGACTATTGTTTGTGGTTATGAGAGCGTAACTTAACAGCTAAGTCACTTAAAAGTATATATAATAAAGGAAATACGGTTCGCAATTAACACAATTTCCGTTTAGTTCGGACAAAAATTAAAGTTTCGATTTATATTTTAATAATTACCCAATGATTAGTCCAATTTCCAGCAATTAAAGCAGCTCCAAAACTTCTAGCTGGGTTCATACTGGCTCCTGTAAATTGTATCGTAGCTAAATGTCCAACAGCAACAGCCATTCCAATAGCTAAAGCAGCTCCATGTTTCGAATCTGGTTTGTTACCATCGCAAACACCACAAACGGTTAAAACCAAAACAAATCCCAAGAAAAATTCAATTCCAAATCCTTGAACTTCGCTAATATCTTTAGCACACAAAGTAACTCCGGCAGCTTTTTCTGTAATTAAAGCTTTAACCAAAGCGGATCCAGTGATTGCTCCAATACATTGTACCATAATATAAAGAATTCCTTTGATTATAGTGATGTTATTGGTTGCTAACATTCCGGCGGTTACGGCTGGGTTTATGTGGGCTCCACTTACATGGCCCAAAGCCTAAATTTGATCGGTGTTATTAAAATGTAATTAGAAAGGATTTAATAATTAATAACCTGCACAACGATGAAAATTGTGAATCCAAACGTTAAAGAAATTAAGACGAGATGACCCAAATCGCTCGCCATCGGGGGAAACACTTGAGTTGAAGCGCAGCCGAAAAAGTTTAACAACAAATTTCCAATGAATTCGGCCAAAAGTGCTTTGCATAAAATGTTATTTTTCGTTTTTAGCTCATTTATGCCTAAAGTCTCACTGAATTTCCCCATTTTTCCTGCAAGTAAAAGAGTCATCTTAAATCATTGGTTTAGAAAGTTTCAAAGCGAAATCGAATAACCATATTAAGACTTAACAGTTCAAGTTTTTCTTTTAAACGTCTTTTATCTAGGTTAGTAAATACCAAAATATCACTTTCAAAAGAAAAAAAAACATCTCAATTGTTAAAAACAAATAGTCTAAGTAACCAAATTTGTATTTCATTTAGCACGTATTCGTTAAAAACTTAAAATTAAAAAAATAAAAACATCTCGTGTTATTAATATTGAGGCTTGGTTGTAAACATCGATTAATTTTCAGTTTCATCTGATAATGAAATTGAAAGGGTTAGGTTGGGTGCGCCCATTTCTACGTCGGGGTTTCAGAAAATACGTATAACTCTTCAAATATACTGCTTTAACCAAACCCCGACTCTTTTAATAAACAAGGGGGCATAAACCACGTCGAATGTTATAGACGTAAAGATATTTTACTGTGTCGTTTGAATGAATTAAGAAAGGGTGGCTCTCTAATGAAATTAGGAGGGTTGGTTTTTTACGGTTGGCTAATTCTGCTAATAAGAAATTGAATGTGTTATGATGATGAAAATTTAACATTTAAGAATAGTTATAATTCTTAGCCAAAATACATAAAATTGAAATATTGCAATTGTGTTCTAAGAATAGAATTTATTGAGTGACTCTTTAGTTTTTGCCAAAATATACAAAATTTGAAACGTAATTATTATTTTTAGCTATAATGGTTTCAAAGACTTTTATATACAGGGTGATTTATAACATACGGAGCAGACTAAAAGAGTAGGTACTGGAGGTAAAACTGAAGAGATTTTCTTAATAATGTTTTGTTAAAAACTTAATAGTGACATAGATATCGCATGTTAATTTTTCAAATAATTTAACGTCCATTTTTGAGAACCGCTGATATTCAGTAAAGAATAATTAAAATACTTGTCCGTTGCTAAGTAACCAAATCAACTGGATTGGCAGCAATAAAAACATGGTATCAGCGGTTCTCAATAAACAAACACCACCGTTTGAGCGTTTTAACAAATTTTTAAATAGCCGTAACTGCTATTTATAAAGATTTAATTATCTTTATTAATTATGCATTGTTTAAGTAACCCCGAAATATTCGCAGTTTGAATTTAAGCGTAGTGTAATACTTCAACTTTAACGTTCTATATCTTTGTGATTATTAAGTTGTGGTCAAAATTTTATTAGAAAAATATCTTCAATTTGGTTCTTAGTACCTACCCTTTTAGTCTGCTCCGTATGTTATAAATCAGCCTGTGTACATTTTCCTTTTATATACAGGTGTCTCACGTAACTGGTTCGAGTTAGAACTTTTTTAGGTTCGAGTATTGGTACAGTTTTGAAATTTTGGTAGTATGGGTTGTTCAGTCGGCACTTTCGATCTAAAATATTTTCAAGATGGCTGCCACTTCCGGTCTACCGGAAGTAAACCATAATTTCGTTATTTTAAATGGAATGCTCTAGTTTTTATTACACCTTTTAATTGTATGTAAAAAAATATGTTGACTTTCATAAAAGTTATTGGTACCTAGCGTTTTTCGTTTTCGAATTATTTTGATTTTAAGGTTTTTTTGGCAAATTTCACCATGCTCTTTAAAATCTTATATTCCAGCCAACGTTCATTCAAATAAGCTCTAAATTGGCATGATTACTCTTCAGATGCTCTCAAAAAGATTGTCATATATTGTAGCAGAGTATCTTATACAGGATGGTTAAAAATTGAATTACCGTTTCTCCGTATTCAATGGGGAGAAAGTCGAAAATTTTAAATGGAACGCCCCATGTTTTATTAACCTAGATGAAAGGAAATTTAATTCTCTACAATTTATCTATAAACATTACTATACCTATCTATTGTAGTTTCTCTCATATTCGTAAATTTATCAAAACATGCAGGAAATGCAGGAAACCGTTTGTATTTTTATTAGAAGGCATTTTGACAGTTTGTTGTTTAATTTATTTCTATTATTATTTGTAATATTAACTACGATTGATAATCTTTTAGTTTACTAGCTTTTACTTACCAAAAATAACAAACAGAATCAAATAAATGAAACTATTAAAACAAAAAGTTAATGACAAAAATTAGATTTGAATAAAAATATAAATTTGTTATTAAATTGAATTTGGAAATGCAATAAAATACGTTAAATTATCTATTTCGTTGTCTTCATCACTGGTGACCGGAAATATGCGATTTCTTTTGGTTTCGATTTTGGCATCTCTCATTAAGTGTTCGACACGTCCTGTCCTAAAGTTTATTACATTCGCCATCAATACAAAATAAATTTCAAATATCGGCGTTGGAATAATTTACCATGATGTTCAATAACTTACACCCGTCGTCAAATGTAACTAATGGCAACAATAATACAAACATGGACCAAAAACTATCAACATTCCATAGCTTTCTAATAAGAAAACCTGCATTTCGTGCATGTTTTAATAAATATCGCAATATGAGGCAAACTACAATAAATAGGTATGGGAATGTGTATAGGTAATTTGTAGAGAATTAAATTCTCTTCCTGATAGCCTAAAAAAATATGGGGTGTTCCATTTAAAATTTTCGACTTTCTCGCCATTGAATATGGAGAAACAGTAATTCAATTTTTGACCACCCTGTATAAGATACTCCGATACAACAAATGGCAATCTATTTGACAAGATCTGAAGAGTAATCGTGCCAAAGTAGATCTTTTTTGAATGAACTTTGGCTGAGATATGGAGTTTTAAAGAGCACGGTGTAATAAAAAGTATAGCATTCCATTTAAAATAGCGAAGTTATGGCCACTTCCGATAGACCGGAAGTGGCGGCCATCTTGAAAATATTTCAGATCGAAAGTTCCGAATGAACAACCCATGCTTCCAAAATTTCAAATCTCTACGAATAGTGGAACCTGAAAAAGTTTTAACGAACCAATTACGTGAGACACCCTGTATATATACAGGCTGTCCCATATCTTCTTTCTTTAAATCGAAACTTCACAAAATTATTAAAATTCCAAGAAGTTGTAGGAGATTTTTACTCGCATTTATCAAAAATAACCTTAAGATACAACATTACAGTATGGAATTTTGATAAAACATCATGAAACTCTTAAAATTGTCGAAAATACTTGATTTGTTACTAAAAAATCCTCTTCAATAAAATTTTTCAAGAAGAGTTGAAATGTTTGTATCTATTACCGTTAGAAAAATTAAATTAAACTTGTATTTCAGTATATTTAAAGTTTTTGGTCGACATCGTCTTCACCGATTTCATGAGTAGAGTAGCTGAATGCTTTGGAAGAGGTCAAATTTTTTTTCCTTCATATTCTTCAAAGGTAACGTTTCCAAATTTCGCCAGTCTCTTGGCATTTCGAGAGCAGAACCATTTTACCTCACTAACATTGAGAGCAAGTAGAATATTACGATATAAACAAGACAAATTATATCCACAGCATTACCCTAAAATATGACTATGAATTTTTAATTCATTGCCATTTCTTTTAATAAGCATAATATTTTGTTCCTTAAAACTCAAGGAATGCTGGCACAATAGATCCATACTAGAAAATCAATCTAACACCAATTTGGCTTAATCACACCTCCAGAAGTACATTGGTAGTGGAGAGATGATTTTAAAAAATGATTTTGTCAAATTAAAAAAAAATTTATAATAAATTGTATAATAACGAAATTAAAGATATTATTCTACACAGAAGATTTTATCAAAAAATTCTTGAATGGTATAAAACGCGTTTTGGCAAATTTCATTCTTCATTCTTGCAAAGGGTAGATCTCGTACCGACGCAGGTAGATGGTTAAAGAATTTAATGCCCCAATAGTTGGCATTGTTTTGGATTTTAGACAAACGATGTGTGGGTATACGCAGTTCCTTTTTGTTTCTAGTGTGATAGTTATGGGAATCACAGTTTTTTGGCAGAAGGTATAATTTGGTGAACGTTCTTTATACAGTTGAATATATACAGGGTGTCTCACGTAACTGGTTCGTTAAAACTTTTTTAGGTTCCACTATTCGTAGAGGTTTGAAATTTTGGTAGCATGGATTGTTCATTCTAAACATTCAATCTAAAATATTTTCAAGATGGCCACCACTTCCGGTCTACCGGAAGTAGACCACAAGTTCGTTATTTTAAATGGAATGCTATAGTATTTATTACACCTTTCAATTATACATAAAAAAATATGTTGACTTTCATAAAAGTTATTGGTACCTAGCATTTTTTGTTTTCGAGTTATTTTGATTTTAAGCTTTTTTTGGCAAATTTCACCATGCTCTTTAAAAGCCCATATCTCAGTTAACGTTCATTAAAAAAACCTCTAAATTGGCACGATTACTCTTCAGATGTTGTCAAATAGATTGTCATTTCTTGTATCAAAGTATCTTATACAGGGTGGTCAAAAATTGAATTACCGTTTCTCCATATTCAATGGCTAGAAAGTCGAAAATTTTAAATGGAATGCCCCGTATTTTTTACCATATCAGAAAGGGAATTTAATTCTCTACAAATTATCTATAAACATTCCTCTACCTATTTATTGTAGTTTCCCTCATATTGGGAAGTTGATCTCATGGTCTATGGTTTACATTATCGAATGCTCTTGACAGATCCACACTCACTAGTTCCACAAATTTTCTTTGATCAAGTGTCTTCAAGATATCTTGAATTGTATCATTTAATGCAGTATCTACCTTTGCGGTGTCCATGTTGATAGTTAGTTAAAAATTTCAAATATTCAAATAGAATAATCAAATATTCTTGTAGTTTTGAAATTGTAGGCAACATTAAGATAGGTCTGAAAATTTCTGGTTTGCTTATGTCCCCCTATTTATATACAGGAACTATTTTGGCGACTTTTAATTCCTCAGGGAATATTCCATGTTTGAGGCACATGTTAAAAATGTACACTAAATGAACACCTAAGCTTGATATAGATTTTTTTTAAGAAGGCCATAGAC